ACAGCCGCGAATTCACATCAGATGCATAACCCACAGCACAAATACCATATGTCCTCACACTCCTGCCTGTCAAATCCATCTTTCCCCCATTCTGTTGAGTAGAGAAAGGCTGGCAATAATTTCTGCAAACCTAGAGACTTTCTGAACTATCCTATTAAGGCCTGTCTGTCGATGACAGAATAGACCATGCTCACCACGAAGGAAGGCATGGCTGGCAGGGGGCAGCTGGCCCTGCAGCCCGGCAGTGACTCTCACAGTGACACCATCATGATTCTCCACCTCTGCTCTTTTGCAGACATCACTGGGCGGGGAGGGGAATCTACTTGATGCCAAGAGAACCATTTTTTTTTCTTAAAGCCAGAAGACCTGCCTTGGTAGAGGGGTAGAAAGATCGATTCAGACAGGCCAAGCACGCAGGAGGAAGACAAGGGGAGCCAAGGCAGAAGGTAGTCACCTCGGTGGTCCAGGGGTTGAGAGAGGGCCCATGCCCCTGGGCACTTTCCCAGGACCAAGTGGAGGAGGCACAGAGATGTGTGTGCTCTTAGGGTACTAGATGCAGCCGGAAACAACCTGCAGCCCTGGGCTCCCCCAAAAGATTTTGTGCCAGACCTACAGAACAGACATTGTGAAAGCAGTAGGAACTTCACGGGGATCCTCTCATTTTCAAACACAGCCTTTCAAGGGAAAGACAGTAGTGAGTTGATCCATGCCATGAGTGTTGAGAATGAAGTGAAGGCATTCCTCTAGGTGGAAGGGGAAAGGGCTTTGGGGGGCTTTGGGCCCCTTCCCAGACTCACTTATCACCTCCACACAGAGAAGTTCCTTGCCTAGTCAGTGCTCTGGGTTCTGTCACCTGACCAACTCCCCGCAGCCCCCCCCCCATATGTGGAAACTTTTTCCTTGGTGTGGTGGTTGCAGAGACGACGAGAGATGACCACCCCGTGAAAGCAGGGTCAGAATATGTGGCTTCTTTCCAGGCCAGGGGGTGGGGGGAATTAAACCTGTACTTAAGGGTTCACTGTCGTCTGAAGGAGCCCGAGGCTGATGCGGGGAAGTGAGGGCAGAGGTGTGGGGACCAGAAAGAGAAGAACAGCAGGCAGTTCTGAGCTAGTGGCTTGCTGTGGCTGCACTAACCCAGCCCTGGGATAGAGACAGGTGCAGGTGGCTGCATGGGGTGCGGGTGGGCTGCGGGTGGATCTTCCAACACCCACCTGATCTCTCAGCTCTAGAGATCTGCTTGGGGCCAGGTGCCCATGACTGTGTGCGCCATCTTGTGCCCATTCATGTCCTCTGTTCATCACTTTAGGGCCTTGGGCCAGCACTACTGAAGAAGGGAGACTGGCTAGAATTTGTGCTGGGAACAGGGTAAGGAGGGCAAGATCCTTCCCACCATCCCAGTGTCATAGAGCTGCCTCCTTTCCCGCCTTCCCTCACCTCCCCTTCTCAGACGCAGCCGGAAGTCAGGTGACCTGCGAAAAGCCCAGGTCCTTTGCTGGAGAGAAAGCAACCCGGGAGAGTAGTACCAGGGACAGCTCCCCATTGCAACGCACTCATTTCCATAGGTGGGTGAGTCCCCTCAGAATTCCTGCTGGAGAGATTGTATCCCCCTTTTCTTACGTCTGATGACTCGCTACCTGCTCACCTAACATCCGGGGATACCTACTTGGTGGCTATCTGCTTTCTGACCCACAAGGGCTTTAGAATTCTCCATCAGGTTCTCCTGACCAGCAATTTGCCATTCTTAGTCCACAGGTCTGCCTGTCACTTCCTTTCCTGTTTCTGGTGGATTCCATCTCTACTCCCTGCCTGTGGGTCCCGGGTACCAAAAAGTAGATATTAAAGTCCAGCTGACATCCTAGAAGCAGGGATGATACAGAAAATAATAGACAGTAGAGGAAATCCCACAGTAAGACATCAAATAAGGGGGCCAGTAGGCAACCAGGCAGAGTTAGAAGGCGCCAGCCATAGGTTAGCTGCCATGCTGGCTGTGACATCATTGCTTAGCTGCCATGTTGACTATGACATCAGCCCAGTGCCCCCATATGCACGTGGCTGCCTTGCATAATACATTTGACAGCGATCGTTAACTCCAGAGGAGAAACCCAGTCTGCACTGTGAGCATGGGGGGGGGGGGGTGCCGGGCAATTGCTCCGGGCCATGCCATCCCAGGCATCATTCTGCTGAAGTCAAGGACACTTGACACAGAAATAGGAGACCCTTCTGTGTACTCAACCCTGCTTTCTCAACAAGAATCAGAGCTGCAATTTGAAAGTCCTCATTTCCTTTTGTGAAGTAACATGGCATGCATATGTGTGTGTATATATACACCTAAAGATCTATATCCACACAGATATAAAATGTACGTATACATACATGCGCAGACTTGCTGAAGCAGAGTTTAGGTTGCATGAATCCTGTGATTTATGGAGTTATCACTTGGTACTCTAAGTGATGATACAATGTATAACATAAAACACTACCATCTTCACTTCTGGTGTTCTTTTCACCTTACACAGCTGAAACTCTACACTGAGCCCATGGGGTCCCCCTGCCCCCACCACTGTTCTGCTTTCTGTCTGCATGGCTCTAGCTACTGTGGGTGCCTCATGTCAGTGGGGTCAGCTTGTCCTTAGTTACTGGCTTGCTTTACTCAGCATACTGTCCTCGGGGTCCAGCCATGGGTCAGGATTTCCTTCCTTTGTAAAGCTGGATAGTAGCATCCGTGTGCTGTGTCAACGGCATTTGGTCGGCTTCCGCCCTGTGGCTACCACTGCCAGGTCCAAGGATGTAAAGACATCCCTTCAAGATGCTCATATCTAAACTGGGAGGGGCGAGTATGAAACAGCTGTCATCCCAGACTCGGGACGCGAGGCAGGACAACGAGGGTTCAAGGCCAGTGTTGGCTACATAGCAAGTTCAAAGCCAGCCTGGGCTGCTTGAGACAATGTCTCAAAGGGAGAAAAAAAAAGGGGCCCTGATTCCTGTAACTTATGCTTTTTTAAGTTGGATGAGGAGATGAGTCAAGAAGAATTATATTTCATACTGTCTCATAGTTTGCATTTTTGTCATGGCATCTTTTTATATTCTTAGTCTGTTTTCTGCTTCTGTGATAATATCACAAACTTTTTGATTTATAATGGAAATAAGTCTGCACCATACAGTGAGACAGCTATAAGGTCCAAGGCCAAGATGCCGTCATCTGCTGAGGATCTTCTTCTGGAGCACAGTACGGTGGAGAGTTATCACCAGATGGAGCAGGAAGGCTGAGAGCTCAGACCTCTTCTCCTCTTCCTATAAAGCCATTAGCCCCATTGTAGAACCCCACCCATATGACGTCATCTAATCCCAATTACTTCCCAAAGCCCCCCTCCCCCACTCCCAAACACTGTCAACCTGTGTGTCTGGAGGTTTAAGGTCCTAACACATGAACTTTGAGGGGTGCTAATTTCACCAGGGAATGTCTCTGTGGCTTCTCAGCATCCTCCCATCCAAGAGAGTTTCTGGAGCTGTTCTTCAGTAAGTAGCATGTGAGTACTTAGAGAATCCCCCCTAAACAGATTAAAAAAAAAAAAAAAAAAACAGGTTAGCCCCATCTCAGTGACCGCAACACGGAGCATCACAGAAAACACTCTTCCCATTTCCCTTCTCCTGGGCTTTACGTCCCCAAACTACCTTTCTGCAGGCCGAGAAGATGCATGTCCCGTGGGAAAGTCTAAAATGTCCAGCTCCGATCTGTTCCACCAAGACCTACAACTAACATCTGTGGTTCTGTTTCCAAATCAGAACGATGGCAGAGGATGACGAGTTGCTAAAATAATTTCATGAACAACTCGATCAGAGAAATGATCTGTGAACACGGCTTAGAGAAGTAAGAGCCAGCCAGCCATGTGGACAGACATGTGGACAGGCAGGATTCCTGCCTGCCAAAACCAGCCTCTCTTTCATGCCCTACATTGTCTGCCCGCATTCGAGAGCCACATATTCCCCGACATTTGGCATTGTCGCTAAGCAGCTCCACTCTCTCCGCTCGGAGATGATTGTGGAGCCGAAGTGTTAGCAGTCTATCCTCCTGCCAGGAGAAAAGGGAATCTGGTTCAGAGACCAAAGCAAAACTTATTCATCTCATCTTTCAAGACCCCGAGACACATCCCCCCCACGCCCCCCCCCCCCCCCCCGGACACAGGGTCCTCTTACATTAAAGAGCAGCAGAAATCAAACGCACGCGCCTTCCTGGAGAAGTAGCAGGGGCGTGGGGCGAAGGTGACAGGCTGTGCAGAGGGAGCGCACACCTTTGTGTTCTCGCCTTCTTAAAATTCATCCTCTCACCTGCCAGTCTGGAGAATTGCCTATTTACATAACTAGCTGCCTAAAATGGAATATCAGATAATGGTGCATGGCGCCTCACTCAATTTGAGCCCATCCTCGGGATGCGAGCATGATCCAGCAGCTCTCCAACAGCAGCGTGCCCCACACTGGCCTGTAGCCATGCTCCGTGGGGTGTGAGCCTGTCAGCACTCTGGCAGCTGAAGCAGATGTCAGGCCTGGATGGGGCCTGGGTGGGAGACAACCCACAAGCCGGAGGACGGGGAGGGGACCTGATTCCAAGGCAGCAGGTTGTCTCCAGGGCACAGGCTACCTGCCTTCCTGGGCTTCACAGCAGTGGCCTTGTTTTGGCCCAAGGTGCTGTGTCAGAGAGGACCACATGTAGGGCCTGAGAAGTGGGGGAATCAGAGGACCCATAGGGACAGTCATCCTGGGAGGTGATCAGTCTGCTCTTATCTATCCCGGGCACTGTGCCAGCCCCCCCCCCCCCGTCGATCCTTTTCACAACACAAATCTCCCACCCATCAAAATGGGAATCACGCTGCTCAGGTCCAGGAGGAGCATAAACAAGTGGTAAGGAAGCGCTCTGATAACGATAATCGTGTGTAGCTCCCCGGTGGACCCGATGGAGCAAAGAAGGCAGCCTTGCATGTGTGTTCCCTTATTTTTTTTTTCAGCGTTCCAGTTCCGGTAGTCAGTTTAGAGAAAATTCCTAACCTAGTGAAGGCAGATGGTGCCAATGTCAAAATGAACCCTACGACCACGACTGCAGCCACTTCCTCCTCTGCTGTCTCCACCCCACCGTTAATTAAGCCTGCCTTGATGTCCAAGCCGGTGCCACCGTCACCAGAGAAGATCTTAAACGGCAAGGCGGTTCTCTCGGCCGCTCTAGACAAGAAGCACCCAAACGGCGCCAAAACCAGCAACAAGCCTTACCGGAGACTCTCAGGTACGTCGCTGTGGTTAGAGTCTGGCTCGTGCTAGGACTAAAACCGAGTCCCCCCTGTAACCAGTGATGTGTTCATGTAGCCGAACGGCTCTTTCCTTTTAAGGGTGACTTGGAGCGTACCCGCTCTGGCATCTGGAAACTCCAGGCAGGACTGGTGCTTTCTCTCATGCACCCCAGTGCAGATGAGGTCTCCCCGGCCGAGTTTCGGCGTTATTTATCCTACAAGCCCAGGAAGCAGGAGACTGCCTCAACCAACAGGCGTAGACTCTGATGGTCTTGTTAGCCTGGTGGCCCAGCACAGACACGCCACACTGGCATGATTCCAGCTGACGCCTTGCTGTTGTTCGTGGGCTATCTCAGAACCCATGACGGGGTGGGTAGGACAGCCCACTCAGCGACTGTGCTGCAGAGGGAATTGTAACCTCTGTTCTTGGTCTCCCGCTTTTCTGGGCTGATTCTGCAGTTGGGGCTGTGGCTGCCTTCTGCCCTATGGTCAGGCTGGAGTTCTCAAGGGGGGGTATACAGACCAGCAGAGCGGATGGGGGTGTCGGGATGTCTCTCAGGTCAGTCCTCTGAAGAGACACGTGGCCACTCAGAGGCGACAGCTGCCACTTTACGGGACGACGTTTGCTTTGGATCTGTTGTCGACTGAGCATGACTTGTTCTGACGTCTCCGAGTGACTGGAAGAAGCCACGCACTTCATAGTTTTGCACACACCATGGGCCCTGTCTAAGGGTAGCTAGGAAAAACAAAATACAGAGACAGCCACCCTTGAGGATGTGGCTTCTGGTGCAGGCATGGATTTTCAGCACCCAGGGAAGTGTGAGCAGCTTTTAAATACTACTTCATATTTAATTGGGTTTTCTATCTTATATCTGTATCTAAAAATTGTGTTTTAAAAGTACTCGGGCCTACCAAAAACATTGAGAGACAACTCCTCCCCTCTCCCCATGTTCTGCTAACCCACAATCAAGATAAAGGGAGTGCATCGTAGGACTTCATTGCACGGACTCAGCCCCCATTGCTAGCTCTCTTCCCAAATGGAAAGTGCCAGTTAACTGGGCAGAGGTGGGTGGCCACACCCTAGTGTGTGTGTGTGTCTTTGTTGGCCTGCTCAGTGTCCAGAGGCTGCGGGTCCCTTATTGCTGCATTAACACTACCTTGGCATCTTCCAGCCTGTGGTGGAATTTTGTGTTTTGTGGGTTGTCTTGTCCCAATGGGTCCTTTGCTTGTCTCTACCTCTCTCACAGATTCAACAGCCAGATCCTATCCTTAGCCAAAACCCTGTTCAGTTTCCACATGAGGTGCTGTGTGGGTCTGGGCACAGGCCCGACTCTGGCAGACCGAAGTGAAAGACCTCAGCAGCAGGCAGCCTGGCACCTAGCACCTGCTCGCCCGCTGCCTGCTGGACAGAGCTCTCTGTGTGGAAAGGGAGGGAGACATTTTCATGGCCGTGGGCGGGGAGGGGGGAAACAGATTCTGCAGCCCCACAAGCCCTTTTGCGGCCCCTTCCCGACCCCCAGACCTTTGAAAATAGAACATTCATTTATTATGCTCCAACTTTACACCAGTAAATGCACCCAGTGTCTGGCTAAGGAACTCTCTTCAGTTTGCAGCCTTCAAGGCCCTCACAGACACCTCCCTTTTCTAGAGACCTGGCACCTCCTTAACGGGCCCCCTCTCCACCCTTCGCACCCAGAGAGCTGTGGCCTTCCTGCTCTGCAGGACTGAGGTGTTTGCTGGTACCTTCCAGAAACAGCACAGATTTTCCTAAAGCCTGAGGGTCCTGGAGAGATTGCCACACATCCCCACATTTTGCAGGTGTGGTAAGCGGTTTTGTAAGCCCCAAAGAGGTGAAGGATCGCAAGAGGCATCAAAAGAACAGTTAGCAGTTACTTCCATGGAGGCTCTCAACGGTCGGGACAGAAAGGAGGACACCGGGAAAGCAGTCGCTCCTCAGTCATCCTTCACCCCCCAGGCCCCTGTGTCCTGTTTCTCCTCCCGGCTAGCATCTGGGCGAGGACTATGTACAGACAGCACAAGCTATAGGGTTAGCGGGCTGCTTTTCCTGTGCCTTCAAGTTCAGCCCCACAGAGGCACCCTGTCACACTTTCTCCTGCCACACTTTCTCCTGCCTCTGCCTGTGGCACGCCAGAGTGGAATATTCCTGATCTGCGAGACTGTGTGGAAGGCCTTCTCCAAGGGCCTTTGTGAGGCACGTCAGTGGACACGCTCCCACGGCAATGCATAAACCAGGAAGGCAAACAGAGGCCCCCGTGGGTTCTCCAGAAGAAAGGGGGCATTTTTGGGTTTCAGGTGGACCTCCCTGCTCTGCAGCCGTGGTGCCCAAAGTGCCAAGGGCCTGTGGGACTATTTTAAGTTAAATAAAGTATTGCAAGCACATGGTCCTTCCCTTCTGCCAACTGCTCCTGCCCTGTTCCCCGTGCTGCCCTGTAGCAGGCTCGGAATGTCTGGGTTCACAGTGGAGCTCCATTTCCCCTGAGTGATTCTTGAAGCATTTTAGCAGCTGGTTGGGGGGAAGAAAATCAAAACAAAACAGATTGCCTGACAATGTCTCACTTGTTGGTGCAAATGTGCATTTTTTTAAAAAAAAATGTAGTCTTAATGCCAAATCCTATCTAGTCTCCTTTTTTCTTATATTTTTTGTTTGTTTCTTAAACCAGAGAGAGAATTTGACCCAAATAAACACTGTGGAGTATTGGATCCCGAGACAAAGAAACCTTGCACAAGATCCCTCACCTGCAAGGTATTTCTCTTTCCATAAAAAAGAAAATACTTCCTGCTCTTGCTGGGGCCTTTGTCGAAGTGTTTGGCGCCGCTCTCCGCACGCGGCAGGGTGTGGAACCTCGACATGACCTCCAGCTGTTCTTTGTAAGGGAAATGCTTTCTTCTCTGTCCACGGTAGCATAGTGCCTGCCTCAAGCTGGCTGGCTTTTTAAGGGGAAGAAGGAAAGAAAAAAAAATCCACCCTAAGCTTCCCGTGTTACTTGGGAGGCCAGACAGTAAATTGTATTTATAGGCACTCACAGGCGGTTCTAAAGCCTGCTACGTTTTAATGTATGCAGGAACGGCGGCGGTGGCGGCGGCGGCAGCGCCCAGAAAGGCAGCCCCGGAGGGGAGGATGAGATGCTACTCCCTGATCTAGCCCCTCAGGGTGGCCAGGGGACAGGCAGACCCCTGGCGTCCGCCACTGGGCAGCCTCAAGCCCCAGATTTCCTCTTGTCCTTCTAGTGCCCCGAGGGGTCCAGGGTATGGCCCTGTTTGCCTGGGCCAACTGGAGCTTCCCACCCGCACATGCGTTGACTCTAGCTTGGCCCTTGCGGGTGTCATTCATCTGAGGTGGTCCTGGGTTCCGCGCTGAAGCTGTCTGGAGGAAGCCTTGGCTTCTTAACACCTGGAGTGTAGGACATGGTTGTGTCCGTCCGAGCGGTCTCTGCCTCTTCCCGGCCACAGAACAGGAGCTGTTGCCTTGAAGTTGACTTTGCCAAGCACCTTTCATTGCCTGTGGTTGCAATTTCGGAAATGCGGGCCGCGGGGAAGCAGGTTTATGTGCTGATCAAAGAGGCTGTGCTTCTCCTCTCTCTTCTCCGTAGACCCACTCGCTGAGCCACCGCAGAGCAGTCCCAGGCCGGAGAAAGCAATTTGACCTCCTCTTGGCGGAACACAAAGCCAAGTCGCGGGAGAAAGAAGTGAAAGAGCACCTCCTGACTTCCGCTAGGGAAATACTTCCAAACCCGCCGCCGGGACCAGTGCCCGACACTCTGCAAGGGTCTTCCGGAAACGCGGTGGCAGAGCCCAAAGTACCATCCCCACCAAAAGCCAGGCCGCTCAACTCTGTACTTCCTAGGTAAGTCGGTATGGGCGTTGAAGCAGCCTCAGTCAAGGCACTCTCCCGTGCTCGGGGCTTTGTGTTTTAATGAGAGCTTTTAGTCCGACTGTCCATGGCTCTGTGAGCCTAAGGGGCTCATCCCCGAGCTGGCCACACAGCACTCAACAGATTTTCCTGCTGCAGCCAGGGTCATCAGCCTTCCTCACAGACCTTTTATCAGACAGTGTGTGTTTTTACAGAGCAAGAGTGAGCTGGAAATAAACGCTGGGAGATTGGCACATCAACCACCCAGCAGCTTCCTGTCTGCCTGGGTTTTTATGTTCTTTGAAGACTCCTGGGGCAGTCTGAGGAAGCCTGGGTAGAGAAGTAGCTAGAACAACTTCTAAGCTCCTTCTTGCGTACATATCACAATTCCTGATGACTTATTTTCACAACGCCCCCATGGTTGGGATGAAGGGGAGGTCGGCCACGTGGAGGGTGAGCCACCTGTTCGGTGGCACTGAACAGGTGGGCAAGAACAGGAAACAGAATTACAATCCATTTGGATTAAAAAGCAATTTAAGATCTGTGAATGTTTGTTTTGATGGGCAGGAGACCAGCCAATTTCCAGGTAACAGGACCAGAACTAACAGCATGCATTCAAAAGTGTTTACAGAGGACTCACTCCAGAACCAAAGTGTTGTCTGGCAAGGGGAGAGAGAAAAATGCAACCCAACCCTACTTTCCAAAAACATAGAGTTCAGCAAGCAAGAGAAGACCCAAATGTTCATGCTTGACTTAAAAAGGAAATAATGCTATTCATTCAGCAAGAAGTATGAATAGCGGTATTATCTATTTTTTTTATAATTAGATGTATGAATGTGTCCCAAAAGGTCATTGTTCAACACCAAGTAAGCTTTGAGAGAACATCATTAGAAAAGAGCAGGGAGTTGGCTTTTAAAGCAGCAATCTATCTGGGCTGGGTCAGAGCTGGTGGAGTACACATTTAATCCCAGCACGCAGGAGGCAGAGACAGGCCAGTCTCTGTGACTTCCAGGTCAACTTGGTCTAAGTTCCAAGTCATCCAGGGCTACACAGGGAAACCCTGCTTCAGAAAGCCAAGCAACAGCAACAACAAAAAGTGAAAATCTATTTGGCAGCAGTTGTTCACAATCTTCTGCCTCTTCAGTTTGAGGGAACCTGGACCCTGTCTTTCCACCGTGCCTCTGTAGTATGGTCCAGTCCAGCCCCAGGCACTGAGGAGCAGACAGTTTTACCAGTTAACTTAAACTCCTAAATAAACTGCCAGGGCTTCTGTCACTGTAGACATTTATATTGTTGCAGCCCCTTTCTTTGCAAGATCGTTTTATAATTACTTGTCACTAGGAAGCCAGGTATTGGTCAAAGTGTTACCCCTATTTTAGAGTTGAGGAGACAACTCCATTCCAGAAGTCTGGGCTTTGACTGTATAAGCAGAGGTGCCCCAGTCTCCAAGATCCCTTGTCCATGCTTGAAACTGCAGTTAAAAACAAACCCTGCACAGTCTATGTTTCTTTCTATACATGCATTCCTATGATAAAACCTAATGTATAAATTGGGCACTGAAACTAATAATAAAATAAAATAAAACAGTTATAAAATATATTGTAATAAAACCATCAGCATTACTAACCCTGCACTATGGGACCCTGATTAAATAAAGTAAGGGTTACTTGAATTCATATACTGCTACACTGTTGCAGTTGATCTGAAAATGGCCACTGACTAAGGGGGCAACTATAAAGCATGGGTACATTAACAATGGCTGGATACATTAACAATGGCTGACTTACATCCAGGAGGGCACAGAGTAGGACCACCCACCATTTCCTTGTACTCCTGAGCACTGCACGTGCTAGGAATTTATGAACTATTGGTGCATACAATTTTCTATTTAATATTTTTAGACCTCATTTGACCATGAGTGACTGAGACTGGTAAGGGCAGGCTATGTTGAGTGACTTTCCATTTTTTTGTAGCTCGGGAACCTTTTCTTCCTCACAACTCATCCTTCCACAGTACCTGATACTGGTAGACTGGCCTCTACCTGAAACCACGTGTACCTAGAGCCATTATCTCCGCGCCCCCCCAGGGATCATGGGGGATTCTCCAATGATTCCTCAAGCAGCACAAGTTTGATAGCTCTTTTGGGAGATGAGAAGGGGTCCCATGTAGCCCAGGCTCACCTCGGAATCTCTACAATTGTCCTGCTTTGACCTGAGTGCGGACCACACACAGGTCCCGTGAACTCTTTCGTTAAACACTGCTCCAGCAATTTTTAGCTGATGGAGGCTCGCTTTATCAGTGGTGTCCTGAGTTAACAGAGGAGTAAGAGAGTAGCTGCTGAAAACAGCACAGGGAGGAAGCCTTAAGGGCCCTCTCAGGTTTGTCCCTTGCGTTTTAGGAGAATGTCCACTTATGTTTTCATCAGGAAGCAGAAGACCTGGATAAGTTTCATTTTGAAATGAATGTCTTACAAGGAAAAAGAAACAAACCGTCATGACAAATGTTAATGAGGGGATCAGGATCATCCTTTAGGACAGAGCTGGACTCTTCCAAAGTGAATGAATGTATGGGAACAGAGTCCTCAGGCTAACAAATCCTGTGGGGTCAGGTGGAAAAGGCATGATCAGAATTTAACATGAAAATCACACAAAACCTCCAGGAGCAGATGTTTACTCCTAGAGATGATATATACAATAGATACTCCACCCATATTAACAAGTTTAACAAGTAAAGATAGATATCGCACATGAGTGGGATTTTTTTTTTTTAGACAGGGTTTCTCTGTGTAACACCCTTGGCTGTCCTGAAACTCACTCTGACCTTAAACCCACAGAGTTCCACCTGCCTCTGCCTCCAGCGCACTGGGATTAAAGGCGTGCACCACCACTGCTCAGCTATTACTCCACTTTTTGATATCCTTCACTGCAACCCATTCTTGTCAAGGATTGCTAACAAAGAGACTTGGGTCTTTGAGTTCGGGAATCATAACTTTCGTTGGGCTCGATGGCACACACTTGCAGTCTCCATAACCAGAAGGGTATCAAGAATTTAACACCAGCCTGAACTACATTATGAGTTACAGCATAAATTAGATAACAAGAGTTGCAACAGGATTGAAGCGGGGACCCTCACCCCCGTGTTTTCTAGCTAGATAAGATCAGGTGCGGCCCAGATTCCTTCCAGCCTCAGGTTGCCCGGGTATAAAATGGAGCTAATAGAAATTTAACGATGGGCCTGGAGAGATGACTTGGTGGCTAGCAGTGCTCTCCCCTCTCTCTCTCTCTCTCTCTCTCTCTCTCTCTCTCTCTCTCTCTCTCTCTCTCTCTCTCTCTCTCTCTCAGTTAGTGTGTCACACAATCTCTCTGTATCTCTGGCTGTTCCTGAACCTCCACTACACCATGTCTGCCTTGACCTCACAGAGCTTCGCCCTCCACCGGCTCCTGAGTGCTGGGATGAAAGGCCAGTGCTTCCACACCTGTTGGCATTTACTGCTCTTGCAGAGGACGAGGATTCAGTTTTCAGTACCCACCTGGCAGCACACAGCTACTGTAACTCCAGTTTCAGGGGCTCTGGTGCAGCCACATGTGTGGTGTGCATAAGCAAGTATACCCCAGCTGTGGTCACGTGGTCATTTTGTGTTGCTGTTAAAATAAATCACCTGACTCTAGGCAGTGTATAAAGAAAAGAGGTTCATCTGGCTCACAGTTCTGGTGATTAGGAAGTCCAAGCAGCTGGTCCAGGCTCCAGCCTTGCTAAGGTCCTCTCTAGCTGTGTTGTGTTTGATGGAGCCCCAGAAAAGAAACTACTGTCTGCAGAGTGAACACGCATATGCGCTAAGAAACCGGACAGAGAGAGGTCAGGCTTCCTCTTGTGTATGGAAGTTGGTGCCCTTATAACCTAGTTATCTTGCTTGGTATTTTAACAACACCACCCTGAGAACCAAGCTTACAAGATAGGAGCCTTTCGGGGAAAGCCCTTATCCAAATTATTTAAATTATAATAACCCCTGATTCCATTTCTTTGTCCTTTCCTCTAAGGGAACACATTGCTTGCCCCCAGAAAGCCCAAGCCTTATGGGTCGTAGCCCAGCCAAATGCATCCACACTCTGTCGGAAAGTAGAGGACCACAGAGCCCACCTGGACTGTGATGGCCCAGGCTATCTCTCTGAGTAGGAGGGAAGGGAGACAGACTGTGGAAACCAGTGTCAGTAATGGGTGTTGCCCTGGGTGTACAAGGTGGTCAATCCCAGCCTGTTTTACATCGTCAGGAGTAGTGTGGAGATGGGTAGGAGGTCTGTGGATTGCCGAGTGAGGACAGGGGTATGGATGGAGTGCATCGGGAGGGCCTTCTTGCCACATGGCACACTTTTGTTGTCCTCGACTTCTGCATCTGTGACGTCTCAGTCTGGAGACTTGGAAGCCAACAGATGCAGATGGTATTATTTTTTTTTGTTTTTGTTTGTGTGTTTTTTAATGACTTGTATTTATTTATTTACTTGTTTATTTCGTGTGTGTGTATGTGTGTGTGTGTGTGTGTGTGTGTGTGAGAGAGAGAGAGAGAGAGAGAGAGAGAGAGAGAGAGAGAGTTGTGATTGGTCCAATGTGGGCCCTGGGAATTGAACTCAGGTCCTCTGAAAGAACAAGTGCGCTGTTAATTGCTGAGCCATCTCTCCGGCTCCATTTGTTTTTGTTTTGTGGGGAGGAGACAGGATCGTTCTATATAGCCCCGCTGAGCCTCAAATTTACTATATAGTCTAGACCTCAAAACTGCAATTCTTGGCGGGGCATGGCGATGCATGCCTTTCATCCCAGGATGCGGGAGGTAGGGGCAGGTGGATCTCGGAGTCCGAGGCTTAGGCAGTGTCCTTCCCTTTGTCATTTGAGTCCTCACTTAGTGGCAAGGATAAGAACGCGTGTGGTCCTCCTCACCCTTAGAATGACTCGGTGAAGATGGCTCTCACACCGAATACTTAGACAGATGGACGCCAGGCTCC